GCAAATGGACAACTGATGAAGGTCTGACTTTCTGTCCATCTTCTAATACATAACAGAATAAGATCTATCTATCTATCTATCTATCTATCTATCTATCTATCTATCTATCTATCTATCTATCTATCTATCTATCTATATTTATTTAGTTAAGTAATACAATATTCCACATGTTAACTGAGATCTACACTTCTCCTCTTCTGTCTTCAGTTTGAGAAATGAGTAATAATTCACTCTTTCCACTAAACTCTTGTGAGTTGTCAGATTTAAAACATGCTATCTGTAAAGTTTTTCAGAGGAATTATGGGCATAGTTACAGTTGCTAGGCTATGAAGGACCAACTGGGTGAACAGCTACAGACCAGTGCTGCGTCTCTCGTTAGTCCAAAGACATAAGCTTGCTGATTGCAGGTGAAGCAGCTAAACAGTGACCTTGCCCTGAATTTGTATTTGAGCCTCTATTTTTCCTAACGGAAAGCAGAATGTCATAATAAGTTTATTTTTAGGGACCTCCCTGAATTTTGATTTTGAGAAATTCAGGTCGTCCAAGAGGTTAAAAAAGTCCTAGGGGATGATAACAATCACTGAACTGACAGTCAACACTGTTAATGATATACTTATACTATACAGTAATATACCAGGTTGTAAGTTGAAATTAATAAACCAATTATAAAAATGACAACTTTTAAGATAAACTTTAAATTCTTGTTATTTTACTGAAATTTGGAACTTTTTAAATATATCCCTTTCACTGGTTTTCATTGTAACAAGCAGCAAAATATCTCATATCATTAAACTAAATAATATTAAATTGTTTTTAGTAAAAATATCAAAATGATGTGTAGGTTTGTTAGTGCTACTGGAAGATTGAAAAAACAGCAGATTTGCCAACACAAATCTATGTAATTTGACTTTTTTTATCATGCAATTAATCAATCATTAAATTAAGGACAAATAAAGAAAATACACAACAATGTACTGTGAAAATGACTAATAGAAAATAGCATTCTACACATTCCAGTGTGAAGATACACATAAAATAACAGTCATGACTGAGTTTTGGTCAAAACAGTTGGGTGGCCCATCTTATGGAAAGCAATAGAAAAGAGAGGATGATAGTTCATGATAAGTTTTATTTAAGTTAATACAGACAACACCAGATTCCCTGTGCTCTCCAAGGGGAGCGGGGAGGGGAATTGTGAACAGGAGGACAGGCTGAGTTAATATTGGTATCAATATTGGTAATATTGAGCTCAGCAGCTGTGCTTTATATTGTGCACACTTCATGATGAATTGACCAAAAAAAATAGTCCAAAATTACTTACAGTAATATCTCTTTACATTAGCTTACATGAAAAGTTAAGGAAGTTTGTGCTTTCTCCTGAAAAGTTACACAAGGTTTTGTTAGAATTGTGATGATACCTTCTATTAGGATTACTCCCTCACTTCAAGTACAGACCATTCTGTAATTTTACACTTTTATCTTTAAAAAAATCATATACATTTCCTTCATATCAAAAAAGAAAATTCTTTTGTATTCTCCACTAGAAGCCAACCAATATATCAGTTGACTGATGTCAGCCATTATTGACAACCCTCAGATTTAGCAATATTAACAAAGGTATGGTTGATAATAGGCCTATAATAAGTGATTTTTGTGGGCTATGGCATCAGCAGGATTCAAACATGAAATCCTGATTATAGTTTAAAAACTCACAAGGTGTCTACTAAGAACCCAATTAACAGCTGCTGAGTCACTATTTGTTTACTATTATCACAGCAAGAAAAGCTATATTAGTAAATTTGAACACAAAACACCATCATGGTGAACAAAACAAAACAAAAAAAATACATCCAGTCCTGTGTTTAAGCATGGAGATAACATGTAACACACAAGAAAAATTATGAGGAGTACTGATGAAAAATAAGAGGTAAGTAAGAGAAACTAAAACCTCAAAGAATTCTGGGTTTGTCCTCAGTGATACATTGAAAACAGAGTACCTGAGGTAAAATCTCCACCATTACAAATGAAAAACAGATTCATTACTATTAACTGTTTCTCGTTTCAGCATTTGCCCCTATACAGCTACCATGTTTTATAGAGCACTCTTCTCCTTTAACAGGAAAATTTAAATATTTGTCAGTGAGGCTAACTTACCACTGTTAATTATTATTAGCTAACAGAGCTAGCTGGCTTTCATACACTTTAACTCGTTTGTACCCCTTCTTGATAATGATCTAATCAGTAGTTCTCAAATCAGGCTGCCAATAGGGCAAGTAAGGGGGTTCCCTGTCCATTTAGACAGGGTACTTTGCATTTGGACAAATCTCCAGAACTGATTATGTGGTCATTTATTTTTGTGTACTATTTGGCATTATTAACAGTTTTGTTTCCAATTAGAATTTGCTTATTATTCTGCAAAGGCATTTAGTGGGGGTCTTGAAACAGCCTCAACAACCAGCTCTACGCAATTTACACCATACTGGTTTAGTGTTAGTGATAATAGGATGGTCTTTCTGTAAAAGTGACTTTGTGCCAAATAATTCAGAGCAGGGAGTTAACCCACCACTAGCTTCAGTCTCTATCTGGAACCAACTTGGCTTATCTCTTGCCTCACAACTTGGCAACAATGTTCCCATATACTTTAAAAGATACTTCGGGGGTATTAATATAAAGTTAGGAAGGGAGGATCCCCCTTTCTTTGTATGCGCTTGTTATTTCTTTATTCCTAAATGGTAAATTTAAATTCCTAAATCTAGAATGATAGTATCAAAATCTTTGAGATTAGAGTCAGGAATATTCAGAGGTAGGTGAGTCAGAAAGTAGTAGATCACAGGTGTAGTCATTATTTTGAAGAAATGTATTTTTCCACAAAGTATAAGATGGATTTTAGTCCACCTGCCGAAATCTGATTTCATTCAGAGGCTTGATATTTTCTCTGACCATATCACTGTAATCAGGAGTTATTTGAATACCCAAGCATTTGATGCCTTTCAAAGACCAAAAAAACTTCCACTGATGAAACCGATCCGATCCGATCGAGTAGATCCGATAAGGGCCTAGCTTCTAAATTTATCCCAGTTAATATGATATCCAGATAAAAGTGTGAATTCCTCAATACAATACAAAAGATTTTTCTGGCTGTGTTAGCAGTAGTAACATATAATCTGCGTACAGTTAAAGTTTATGATGCCTATCATCCACTATGATTCCATGAATGTCTTAATTATTCCTCAACCTCTGGGTTAAAGGTTCTAAGGCAATGATCATGTTTCAAACAGAATGTCAAAAGTCTTGAAATATATTTTTCAGCCTTTAAATAGTTGTTGTGAGGAGGACACAGCCATACTCAGGAGGCTTGGATGCTGGTACCAACTCTGGGGATCATTTATTCGAAGAGCGCTCTGAATGTATAAGAGAGAAAAATAATGAAAAATGGCTCCCAGCCTCGTGTCTGCTTGCATTAGCCTCTCTTTCTCCAGCAGTGCTCTAACCAGTCTGATATAACAAAAAGAAATTCTTTAGATTAATTAATTACACTGGTACTATCTTGTCCACTGACAATTCAGGTTTTTCTCATACAACACATGAAAAAGGAAGACAGAATAAGAATAAAATAAAAGACAAAGAAATAGAAATAGAAAAATACCAGACCAATAATCACTTTCGCAATATGTATGGTATTTATCATGTTATAAAAAAAGTAACATGTATAAATGTTGTTACTATCATACATTTTCATATATGAAAATTGTAAGCACGTACATACACACGCATATATATATACACAAACATGTATATATCAATTCACTGCATGCTCGGAATATAATAGAAGGACACATAAACTTATATAATATTATTCGTTGACCATATAACTTATCGAAAGAGACCATTCTGAGATTAGTGCCCTGTTGTTTCCAGCATTTTACGTATATTTTTCATTCAAAACACCTCCAAAACATAAGAACAGATGAATGAAATGAAAGCTTTTTAACAACAGAAGCGCCTAAGATCATACCTGGATGTATAAGACAGAAAAATAGTGAGAAATGGCTCCCAGCCTCATGTCTGCTTGCATTAGCCTCTCTGCACACCCAGAAAATCACCGAAAAGGTGGGGGAGGGGTTAGCTTCTCATATTACAGGCAGCTATAGCATGCTAATACTTCTCACTCTTTTACATGGTAATACATATAATCTATCTATAGAACATTCAGATAAAGATCCCTATTGATATTTCGCTTCATGTTAAACCATTATTATAACTTTTTACACTATATTAAACGTTTGATGAGCATTTTATAGCTCGGAGCTGAAGCTACACCAACCTCTCTCCAGCAGTACTCTAACCAGTCTGAAGAGAGTGTGTGTGACACACAAGATGACATCACAGCAACGCCCACAAAAATGTTATGCTAAAACTATACAAACATATATAAATGATTTATACAAATATATAAATATATATATATGTTTTTGTTTTTCATTGGTGGGTGTTTGTTCAGTAGCTTGGCCTTTTCAGGAAAACCCTCTGTGATGTGCAGGTTTGTCTGCATAACAGCTACATACAATTGTTGCATTGTTATGAAGTATTTACAACCAGATTATTGAGGTAATTCTGCAAAGATTTGTTTGGTCAATTATTTTGAACCACACAGTGGAAATCTTGTAAGGCTCAAATTGGCCATAATGTGTTACTTGTTTTATTCATGCAAAACAACACTCTTCCATGTGATCAGCATGGAACATTCCAGTTCATTAACTTTCTTATGTGATATTTTTGTCATATAGTTATAAACATAAGTAGAAACATTCAGGTAAAACAGGCAAGTAGCCTTTGCTTTATCCAATAATCGCTGTAATAACGCTAATTGTTCTTACTATTTCAGTAAATATTTCAACATTAAACCTATAAACATTTTGGAAAGGAATTTTTAAGTAAAGAAGTTTTAAGTAAAATTTATTGAAAAAATTTTTCACAAGAAATTTTTTGTGTGCTTTCAGATTGTGCTGGATAAGGCTTTGAATTCTGGCTGTGCGTCAGTGCTGTATATATCTGATGATGACAGGATGGTGTTTCCCAGAATGCACTTTGACCCAGTGGATCATAAATACATTTACATTGCTTTGAGAAATCAAGTGAGTCTTAAACCTATGTGCCCATCATATGAATTTGACATATATACTGTTGTCACATACACCAATAGACCAAAACATTATGACCACTCAAATTTGAAGCGATTAACATGATTATCTCATAACAACAACAAGGTCTGGGATGTGTTAGACCATAAGGGAACAATTGGCTCTCATAGTCGTGTTGAATGTGGATGAAATGAACATCTGGAGGAAATACCTGAGCAACTTTGACAGGGCCAGATTGAACCAAAAACATAGAAGGCACATCACAATGTTCACAATGTTTTATGTATAAATATATATAATTTAGGATAAACCGAGGAACTAAACCTGTCCTATCTCAATAATCATTTTGGACAGCTTTCTGGATTAAGTATAAATAAAAGCAGCAATGCTTTATGTGTGAGAGTTGGCAAGGTAACTACATGCAATTTGAGGAAATGGTGTGTGTGTGTGCATGTGTGTGTATGTGTGTGTGTGTGTGTGCATGTGTGTGTGTGTGTGTGTGTGTGTGTGTGTTTGTGTGTGTGTGTGTGTGTTGTAGATAAGCCGTGTGGCAGTAACTCAGTGTGGTCTGTACAGCACTTTGAGAGACTGCAGAGCTGCTCTGGATCCTTCCTGTGGCTGGTGTGTGGCTACACACAAGTAAGTTTCTTACCAATTCTGCTCATGTACACATCTATCATTGCAATTTGCTATTACAGCTTTTCAGTCAGTGACTATGCTTGACTTTACATCTGTGGCTAACCTTGACTCTTAGAGCTAGGCCTTCAGTTTTTGCCATAAATATCAAAACATGAGGAAAAACTTACCTCATCAATAATACTTCCTCTCTTCTTGTGTCCCTATTCTAGTAGTTTATCAGCGCTAAGCAAATAGAAATTTGCATGAACTTGCATGTAGCTGCTGCAGCGTTTAAGGTGGGACAGAACATGTAAAAATGCAGTTCTAGATTAAACACAGATATTTAAATCTTCTAAAAGACGTTCCATGTTTTACTTGAAGCTTGTGACATACATATTAGCATATTGGGGCTGAGTGAGGGGGTCAAATGCCACTCGCCCACTCTCCATCTATTATTTTTCTAAATTTGCTTAAGAAAAGTTAGTAGTCACATCCCTCGCATTGAGTTTATGTTAGATTTCTCTCTGGAAATCTAGAAAGTCTCTACACGGACACCCTTCTTGGGTGAGACTTTTTCAGGAGACACTGACAGCCTCAGGTGCCCTTGTGTTTAGATATGATCACAGATCAGTTCTACCTGCCATCTGATTTTTTCTTATCATAATGAAACTCACAAATGCATCTCCAACTTTCCCACATCTTATGCAGTTGGTTTTATGTGGTGTCCATTGTCTTCAGTAAAACTTTCAGTGATCATCTCATTATCACTTAAGTTTCTAGCAGGCTGCACCAAGCAGGTCTCAAACTTCATCCACAAAAAAATGTCAGCTTTTCAACGTTCTGTGCTGTTTTTAAGATGTGGAGTCTCAAAGGATGGCGTTAAGTCTGACTGTAAGATAACAGAAAAAGTGCTGAATTGGCCATGTCCCACTACGGCCACTGAGGTTAAAGCTTTCATAGGCCTCTGATCATACTATTGCAGTTTCATCAAAGACTGACCAATGTAAAGAGGCTTTCCAGTATTTCTTCTGGCAAACGACTGGATTATGTGTATCAGCAAACTGAGCCGTGGGACACAAATGTTGCACTCCATCCAGCTTTCATATAACACTATTGTTCACACCAACACAGAGTATACTCTCTTTTTCCTTGTGCATGGTTATGAATCAACGTTGCCAGTGTTAATCCATTAACAACAACAAATGCAATTTTTGTAACATAAAAATCTTTCCTTCCTCTTAAAAGAATAAAACAAACAAACGGAAGGAAAATTAACATTTTCTTCTTAAACTACAAGTCTACAGGTTTTCTTAAGTCTACCTCTTCAGTCTTTACTTCCCATACACCTTCTGTACGAGATTTAAGGAGAACGGGTGCCTTGAGTACCTCCATCGGAAAACCTTCCCAGAGAGGCATCACTAAACACTACCATTTTCAAGGAGCCTCCATTCCTCAAGTTCATGTGCTTCCCCTTACACTCCAGCAGAGTAAGCCAGATCTGTCTGCAGGAAGCTACAGCTCACCTACAAGTCAAGTCAAGAGCAGTGCAGGTCTGCTCATGCTCAACCAAAAGTCCAGTATGATAAAAAGCACAAATACATAAACACATCTTACAAGGATTGAGATTTTGTGCAGTTTAATGATCCTGCGTACTCCAGGGGGGCCGTATTACAGAAACATCTTAACCCTGAAGTCATCTAATCTGTTTAGCCACCATGACAACTTCAGTTATGACTGAATTTAGGACAACAGTTCTTAAGTTCATAATCCTTATCCTAACTTCAGATGAGAAATCAGTATTACAGAAACATCCAAACTAGACTAAATTTCCTAAATTCTGTTCTTGCTTTAAGACAATCCCAGAGGAGTCTTAACTTCTGTTTTAACTGTCCATTTTTGACATTTTTAGACAACTGTAACAGGCAGCATAGTTCTCTACTAGCATGATGTTACATTTATTTATACTGCAAAAAGATAGGAAGCTTCTGTAATATAGTCCTTGATGTAAATTACCACCACACTGGAAATGACATTATGTTGTAACATAAGCAATCTAGCCTTCTGATGGCCACAGTGTGGACTTTCAACAGATGGAGGCACACAAATTGTGCATGTCAACCGCCATAAACCAGCCTTGGCACCTATATTTCCAGAAAGTCAAGATAATTCAGAGTTATCTCATCTTCCTCCACAGCAGACTGAGGGGGAAGTGCCCCATAATACTTGCTGGTGGTAGATGTTCAGAGACAGCCCTCTCTCACAAACTGCCTGGTGTTCCACAGCACCTTACTGCTGTAGAATCAGGACCCTGTTCAGGCACACAGGCGTCTAGGTCACAGGCCAGTTAAACAGAGGGTTTAACACAAGATGCAAACCATTAGTAAATTTCAAAAACAAGAAGACAAAGTTTGCCAAAAAATGTAACAAAAAGCCTGTGTAGTTTGAAAAAAAAACACATCTTTATGAAAAGATGAGAGAAAAATCAATTTATACCAACCTATGTTGTGCAATGACGGAAAGAGAAGAGTATGGAGAAGTGTAGGAACCTTTCATGAGCCAAAGCTGGTCCCATTGTATTTATTGATGATGTGACTGATGACAAAAGTAGCAGGATGAATTCTAAAGTGTACAGGGCTATATTATCTGCTCAGATTCAAAATGCTTCAAAAGTCATTGGACAGCACTTTGTGATGTAGTTGGACAGAGCAAAGCAAACTGTGAAAGCAACCCAAGACTTTACGTTTCTTTAATATAGCCCCTGATGTAAATTACCACCACGGTGGAAAGGGCATTATGTTGTCAGCGAGGCAATCTAGCCTTCTGATGGCTGGATTGTTGAAGGAAAAGTAGACTGTTGTGCAATGGCAGAATCAATCACCTAATCTCAATCTAGTCGAGCAGCATTTCACTTACTGAAAGCAAAACTAAAACACCCAGTAAAGGCCAGGCCAAGCATCACCAGGGAGAAATAGCCCAGTGTCTGTGGGTTCCAGACTTCAGGCAGTCATCAACCAAAAAGGATTTGCAACAAAGTATTAAAAATGACAATTTTATTCATTTTTTAAAATAACTTTTCATTGGTTTTATAGTTATATAGTCATAGTTAACATACAATCAACAGTCTCTACACTTCAGTGACAAAAAGGAGTGATGGGTAAAGTATTCAACATGTACAGGATGTTGGTGTTTACAGAGTCTTAGTGTAGTTAAAGGCATCAGTCCAAAAACGAATCGTTGCTGCATTGGCATTATGGAATCTGGCTGTCACCCATACCTATAATAAAGAAAGATTACGTTCAAACCAACCTTTCAAATATGATTTCTTGGCCGCAGTTAAGGCTGCCAGCATAACCTATCTTTGTTGCACACTAAGCATCAACTAAGCACTGACAGGACAATATCACTGGCATATAGGGAGATATGATCGTTTATGTGAATGATAGTGATCAAAGTATTCTGCCTTATTGCTTCAGCTAAAGGGTCGAGAGATAAAATGAATAAGCTTGAACTGAGGGGGCAACCTTGTCTTGTCCCTCTCTCAAGAAAGAAAAGGAGAAAATATGTGTCCTGTAGAAACGCATGCTGTCGGGAAGAGTAAAGAATTTGAATCATCTTGATAAAGAAGGACCCAAAACCATATTTCTTGAGCACCGCCCACAGACAACGCCACTCAAGTCTGTCAAAAGCCTTCATAGCATCTAAGCTGAAAAGTGCCTGAGAACTATTTGCATCTATTTTGCTGGCGTCAATTATATGTAACTCATTCAAATCTCCCTTTCATAAATCCAGTTTGAACCTGGTGTATAAGATCTCATAGGCAGCTTTCAAGTCTGTTAGAAATAACTAAAAGTCTGTAATCGTACATTCCAAAGGCTCGTTGGCTGGTTTAAGTAGCAGTGAAATCAGTGCCGTAGTCTGATCTTAATGAAACTTATTGATATATTGTGTTCAGTGAAGTCTAATAATAACTGGCCCGCTAAGACCCATAGCTCAATCAAGAGCTCCAGAGGTATGCCATCAGGGCCTGGAGATTTACGTTTCTTCATTGAAGCTGCAGCGGACTTTAGTTCATTTAAAGTAATAGGGGAATCGAATTGTTCTGCCTGGATAGTGGATATGGATGGGAGGTGTAAATGATCTAGTACAGAGTCGTTTGTTAGGTCATCAGGGGCTTCAGATTTGTAAAGATCAAAATAAAACTCATAAGAGACCTTATTTCTGTGAGGAGGGAGGGTAAACACCTCATCAGAGGAGCCTTTCACGGTATCTGAATATGCTATTTTCTCAGATTGTTTTAGTTTTAAGTCAAGGAGCTTGTTAGGTCTATCAGCTTGTTGATAATATAGTTGAGTAGCTCTGAGTTATAAAAACTCAGCCCTTGTACTAGATAAATCATTAAATTCAGCTTCAACATATGAAGAACATAGCTCTGTGTGGATCAGTTTTGCATTTTTGTATTGTTTCTTGTTGAGCAATCTTTACTTTTAGATTTAGTAGAATAATATACACAACTACCTCTAATCACACATTTTGTGACTTCCCATAATGTGTGAGGATTTATACCTGGGTTGTTATTTAAATCAATAAACTCCTCAATCTTGTGTCTGATATGTATTAAAAATTCAGCATGAGTGACAGATACAGCAGGTTAGCGGAAGTGAAGATGTAATCAATTCTAAAATAAGAATTATGATGGGATGAATAAAAAGTAAAGTCTCTCGTTGTAGAGTTCCTTGAACACCAGGTATCTGAAATATTTAGATGGGTCATGAAGGTTTTGAAATAATTGGCAAATGTACTCTTTTGTGACGATAGGGGATCTCAGATCTTACCTAAAGCTAATAGTTTGGTTTTAATCCCATCAAAAAAAAGAATCAAATAAATTTAGGGTGTAAATGGAGGCCAAGCAGTATGTTACTGTGTCTAGTTTAACTGTAGCATAACAGAATCTACCCTCATAGTCATTTCCTGAGCTCACTATCTGTAAGTTTAGTTTCCTGTCAACTCCAAGCAAGATACTGTTAGTGTTGTTAGGGGCACATACAAAAAATCTAAACATTTCATTCTTTTGACAGATTTGTTGGCACCACAAATGTTCCATGATAAAAGATTGTAGCTATCCATTACATTTAGACAGGGAAAATATATGATATAGTGAGGGCAGTATAAACTCTCCTGTGCTCGATTTGTTATCTTGTTATTATGCACCTAAAAAATGAGCAGTCAAGTCAATCGCATCAACATAGACATCCTGTAAGATTTCTAAACTTACATGAAGACCATCTAAAACTCTCACACCTTACATTTGTTAATTTGCTGTTTGCTAACAGTATAAATAGGCATCTTAGAAAAGAGAAATGGCCTCCTTATTTTAAAAGTATCCACAACTTTTGGTCTTCTGAATGGAGCAAAATGCTAAGTTTAAGAAGTATCTGATAATAATCTAGTCATTGAGATCAAAATATAACTAGTGACAGCTATAATACTGATTAGCCAGCAGTGCAGTGCAGTATTACAGGCATTAGTCCTTGGTTAGTATGAATGAAATTGCTGGATAAAACGAGGCTGGATAAAAAAATCAGAAGGAATGTTAACTATGATCAATTTTAAAGGATCTAACAATGTTCTGCTTTTTGCCTCCTAGAACAGGCAGTCGACATCCTAGAATTTAAGTCCATGGTGGCATGAATCCTAGCAAGATTCCAAGGGCAGTTCGCCCCTGATTCAAGTTATCTCAGCAAACACCTTATAACCAATCATCTATTCATGTATTTATAGAAAGAGTTTTAAGTAATTACCACCTGATTCAAATTATTGATTCAATTTATTATCTCAGCAAACACAATAAGTATTCACTATCCACCCTTCACTCTAGGTGCTGTACTTTGGATGAGTGTTCAAAGTCTACTTGGATCTCTATTCCTGAAGATTCTTTTCAGAAAGAGCTGATCTCCTTTCAGGTGGCAAAGGCCTCCACAGAGGTAAACTGCATATCTGTAGTTGAATAAAGTCTCAAAATATTTATTTTTATCTTTATTCCTGTGGAAATGTGGAAAGTACACAGTATCTTCTTGTTACGTTTATTGATTATTGTGCTCTTTCATTCAGGTCACTCTGAATCTTCACTTGCGTGTGCAAGGAACAGAAAAGCTTTCCTTTGCATGTACCTTCAAGGCAGGAAACGTAAATCTGTTTAAAAGCACTGCTGTATCCTTCCCAAACTGTTCTTGCAGTTTGTCCAGCCATCACCTACCTCCTGAAGGTCAGTTCAGATCTCCAGATCTCTCAAGTTTATTTTTCATTTATGGTTGTAGTAAATAAAGTCCATATTATTTTAAGTGATCCTCAGAACAAAAAGTCTTTTTTCTAACAAAATTTAACTTTCTAGGCATTCCACAGCTTATTAGTAACTAGTACAAGGTGCGCAGAACTGGGGAAGTGAGTAAGGTAAATGGTCAGAAAGTCTTGATGGAAAAGATCAGCGATTGATTTTTCTTCAGTGCAACGCACAAAAAAAAGATATTCAAAAGTTCTGGCAACTGTCTCAATATCTGAACATCATAACTCTCAGTATGGGATCATGATAAAACAGAAAGTGTTATCTTTTGTATATACAGGACTCAGAGTCACAGTGACTGTTACTATTGAAGATCAGAAAATCACAGAGACCCTGAAACTGAGGAGCTGTCCAGACATCACAGAGACATCACCATATGCTCAGTAAGAGAATCCAGATCATTATAAACTTTCTAACCAGCAACGCGTCATCAGATTAGATTTTGCAGTTTGGCTTTTTTTTGCTACTTCAGGTGATATTTGCTTGTATATGCATTGTATACATTGGGGAACAGCTAAAAGTCTAAAGATGTTCCCTGTTGCACATACATTCACATTATCAGGGATGGCATAGCTACTGAAAAATTAGTAGTTAGCTACTTTCCAAAAATTTGTAGTTAGCTACAATTTAGCTACTTTTCCAGAAAAAATAGTGGCTACTTTTTAGCTACTTTTGAAAAGTAGTGCATTACTTTTTAGCTACTTTCAAAGCACGATTGTTAGAATGTTTGTGAATCTCCACCTGACACACCAAACAAGCCCAACTGACAGTGTGAACAAGACACTGCATTTAATCATGTGCCAGAAAGAAACCCTGCACATATATTGTATGTACAGGTGTGCAGCCTGTATCTTAACAAGGCTGTGCGTGTTTTGTATTCAGGTGTGTAGCGTGTGTCTCAGCTGGGTGTCAGTGGTCCGTGAGTAGTAAGAAGTGCAGCTGGACTACTGGGTCTGCAACACAGGTAGCACGCTTATACAGCATACAGGTGAGTTCATAGCACGCATAAATGTGTTGATGAGATCAGATTTCACAGACACACACACACACACACACACACACACACACACACACACACACCAGTTTTTACACCAGTTCATGAGGATCCACACAGATGTAATATGCATTTCTACTGTATGTCTTTTCTTTAATTTTTTCTATTAGCTTTCAGTGTTTGGATAATGATGTACATGCAGGAGTAGTAGGAAATACATGAGCATTAATACACACCAGAATAGCTTTTGGCTGTGTTCTCTTAAGATAATGCTATGCCTTGAGAATGCAGCACTGTATATTTTGCTTGCTAAAAAAATAGTAAAGGCTTTGACATGCTTGTTTGCACCACAGCTAACAGGCTCTTCCATAATATTCAGGTAGGGTATAAGTTGAAATATTTACTGAAAGTTAGCTTAACTTAGCTTACATAGCTTATAACGCAAAGGTTTCTGAGTTAAACACAGCTATATAATGATATGCACAGCTGGTGCATATTTGTGATTATATGCTGTAAAAATAATTAAAACATCTTATGTTTTATCTTATTTTTATACAGCTGTTTTGGTGTAATTGGTTTGTACACCTTTAGACAGGTTGCACTGCTTTATGGCAGGGGTGGCAGGGGAGTCCTAGCTGCAAATTAGCCTATATGATAATTACACAAACAGTAAGCATCATTATGTAGACAGCCTGTTTAATGATTCTTTTATTGATCATTATGTCAAATTTCAAATGGTTTCTGGAGCCCTAAAATGTGTGCAAAAGTGATATGAAGTTGCCAGCACAATTTAACTTCATTAGCATTGCTTACTTTCATACTTAATGTGCTAGAGTACTGAGGGTCCACCACCTGGCCTAAAAAACAACATCTACTGGAAATACTGGGCCTTTGGGTTCTGTGCTTTATGTGTAAATCATGAATTTATTTAAAGGAGAATTGTTGACTTTGTAAAGATAGGAAGTCTTTTCAGCAAAAGCAGTGTTTTTAAAAGAATGACCCATCTTGTACCTCCTGTTGTAGGATGCATGTGAAGGATTATATTCTGAAAAATACACAGTAAGTAAACTCACACAGCATTAGCAGAAATAAGATCTATGCCTGTCTTGGGGGAAGGTGACATTTGAAAAGGAAGCTGGGGAGGTGTAAATGAGCTTAGGCTCTTTGGAGATGTGTTTTTCTTTCTACGTAAAAAAGCAAAGAAACAGAGCAGCAAAACTTTTACAGGTCCCATTTCTGTTTTTTTTATCTATTCTGAAAGGTTTCAAGATCAAAATGCAAGCTCAGGTTTGTAAAACCTAGGAGCATTTTTGATCTTATCAGCCTGAATTCTTTGTTGCCTGAATGCAACAAGGTGCTGGAAACATCCAGTACAGATTCTGGTCCATGCTGACATGATTACATCACATAATTGCTGCAGATTTGTCAGTTATTTATTATTTTATTTAATTTCCTGTTCTACCACATCCCAAATGTGCTCAGATAGGCTGTGACATTCAAGTGATACTGATTGGTAATAGGGGGCCCAATATATGCCAAGAAAACATTCCTCACACCAGCTAGAATTGCTGACCCTACCGTCTATATGTCACAGCTGAAATAGAGATTCATCAGACCAGGCAACATTTTTCAAATCTTCAACTGTATAGTTTTGGAGAGTCTGTGCCCACTGAGACTCGAGTGGAACCCAATGTGGTCTTCTGCTATCGTAGCCCATCCACCACAAGGTTCAACATGTTGCAAATTCAGAGATGCTTTCCTGATCACCACTGTTGTAAAGAGTGGTTACAGTATTTGAGTAACTGTAGCCATCCTGTTAGCCTGAACAACTCTCATCAACAAGGTGACCTACTTAGTTTTTTGTAAAATTTTTTGCAAACTCTAAATACTTTTGTGCATGAAAATCCTAGGAGATCAACCATTTCTAAAATACTGAAATGGTCGAAGACACTTTTTCGACTTTTTTCCCTATTTTGATATAAATATTAACTGAAGCGCTTGACCTGTGTCTGCATGATTTTAAGCACTGCACTGCTGTCACATGATTGGCTAAATGCATAATTGGATGACTGAGCAATTTAATAAGCCTTATTTCTTAAATTATGCAGAAATATTTTATTTGTTTTATGTCTATTATTTGTGTCATATTACAGGTTCCATGGTTTTTATATGAAAAACTTGTAACTGATTTCATAATGACTATCTGATGTCTTCTTTTTTTCCTAATGATTAGCCAGAGATCATCTCTCTGCAGCCCAATCAAGTCTCCTTTCATGGTAAAAACAATGCAATAATACAGGGGAATAATCTGGAACAGGTCATGAAAATTCGCTTCCAGGGATTCATGGAGTGCACTACAAAGGAGTGAGTGTCATAGTATTAAAAAGCAAAAACAAAAAAGTAGTCTTGGAATGATCTGTTTAAAATAAGTGCCACTTGGTTTAGTATTTTGTTTTATAATACAGTTAGCCTAATTCATTTTTAAGTATGCATTTTAAGCCTCATGTGAATGGAGTAGGCAGTTCAATGACCCCACTGATGCTGCTGCTGCTGCTGCATGAACTAAACTATTCAAATTAATTGTTTGCTCCTCCTTTTACCCTGTTTTTTTGTACTATAATACTTTATACTAACAATGTTTTACTATCCGGTGTCGACCAGAGGAGGATGGGTTCCCCTTCTGAGTCTTGGTTCCTCTCAAGGTTTCTTCCTGTTTCCCTAGGGAGTTTTTCCTTGCCACTGTTGCCACTGGCTTGCTCATGGGGGCTTGGACCCGGATTTCTTTTCTTTTTAATGCTCATTTCCTTGTAAAGCTGCTTTCTGACAACACCGGTTGTAAAAAGCGCTATATAAATAAACTTTACTTACTTACTTACAATGTGTGGTAAAAGAGTAGTAAAGAAAGGGAACTTCATGCTTAGGGTAATCCAGGACCAGCAGTGGGAAACACTGGTATAGCTGTATATCAGTACAAAGCATGTGTATATGTGTATGTTTATATGTTGTGTGCAGGACTCCAGTGTTGGAGCGTTCCAGTGACACTCTGAAGTTCAGTGTTCCAAGTGGAAACAAAGGAAACACAAGGGTTTGTCTGGTGACAGCAGATGGTCGTTGTCATAGCAATGCCACCATCACATATGGGTCCCATCCGACCTGCATTGGACTGCAGCCTAGAAACACCTGGGCCAGGTAGAGTGCAGTGTTAAGATAGATTTTTTGTCTTAACTTTTCAAAGTGACACTAATTCCATCATTTGGTTTAATTTTGCAATAAAGGACCAGGACTATTCTCATTGAAGATTAAACATGATGGCAAAAAATTTATACATCATGCCAAAAATAGGTATAAAATATAAAAGCATTTCCCTGCTAACACTGCTGCTATTAATGTTTCATGTTTGATCTTTTATGTTTGTCCACCAGTGGGGGGAGGAAGATTGAAGTGCTGGGGAACAATCTGAAATACATGGATAAAATCATAGTAAATAATAAAGAATTGAATGTCGAGTCAAGCACTGTGGTAAAGTATCTGCATAACTCTCTACAAGCTTATTTCTGATTATTTCTTATTTCTGCTACAGAGCTCAGTTTAACCGAAATATTCTTCTAAAGTCAACTCAGAGACGCACATCTCACATTACTCTTTCAGAGATCCTGCTCTCTCTCTGTCTCTTCTACACATACACTGACACTCTCTCTCTCTCTCTCTCTCTCTCTTTCTTTCAGGGTGTCTGGTTTCATTCTCCTCCTCTCCTCCGCTCTGGGCCGTTCAGTGTCTCTCTCAGAGTGGGGAGCTCAACAGTGGACTGTGTAGATAAACTCTCTTACCTCCCAAATCCAGAATTCCTCAGCTTCTCTGCTGCTCAGGATGTCAGTTATGTGCTTGTTTTAATTAATGTAAGTATCTTAAATAGAATGTTTAGAACTTATTAAACATGATAAAACACAAATGATTACACAAGCGGTGCAGTCAAATGTACTGAACATACAGGGGGCCTTAGACTTTAAAAGCTTGAGAACTGCTCACTTACACATTCTTACACATGGTAAATACAGAGATGCTTAACTTTTTTTCACTTCTCTCTCTGTCTAGAAAAAGCAGGACAGGTTGAACATGCGTGTGGAGGATGTGAAGGTGTGGGGATTGCAGGAAGAGAAGGAGTTTGAATGTATCATAGATAAAATCATGTCTGTTGCTCTCATTTGTAAAATTTTGGGAACGCCGGATGTCAAAATACAAGTGGAGTCACTCAGGGTAAGAATAATCAAGCTAACATCTGTCTTTAAATATGTTATAATGAAGAGAGCCTAGTGCTTATACAGCCTTTGTTTTCTGTAAGATCACTGGCTGATAACGAGATGAAAATATTCTGAACACAGAGCACAAAATGTCAAAGTAGTTGTCAAGCGTTCCTCTGTAGGTGGCCATTCTATTGAGGAAAAAGGTATAAAAAAAGTAAAAAGGTAAAGAGAGTGAAACATGTCATGGGGAAAAAAACAGGGTTAGAGTGTGCAAAGGGTTACTATGCAGAGTGGCTCACAGGGTAAAGGGCCAGCTTGTCATGTCACCAATATCTCACTGCAAGGCTCAATCAATCTGCATAAGATGAACACAGTTCTGCGAATCATAGTGAGACTTGAGCTGTTTTTCTCTCAGTTGGAATTTTTTGAACCTGAGCTTCTTGGGGTGGTAAGTAACCACCTTTCAGTGGCCCCTCCTGAAAATTGAAACTGGTTTCTTTAGCTGTTTAGGATCCTTTCCTTTTTAAAGGGGACCTATTATGCTTTCCCTTTTTCCCCTTTCCTTTAGGGTGTTATAAAGCTTTAATATAAGTGTGTTATACAGCTCAAGGTACATGCCAGAGGGATTAACTCTGTCCCTGAGAAACCACTTTTCTCAGCTGCCTGAAATGCCTTATTGGAATTCCAGCCCTTTTCTCTGTTACAAGGTGAAGTCATCTCATAACACAATCTTTATTGCCCAAATACCAGCAAGCTTGGCGTGCCCTCACATAATGCACAGCAAGTGCTGGAGGCTGTGAAGAGTCTGGTTGAATAGAGATGTACAGTATGAGAAAAAATTGTGTTTTTGGTAAATCTATTGTAATAAATCCCAAAAATAAAGTTATGAACATTGAAAAGGAGCATAATAGGTTCCCTTTGAAAGAAAGTCACTTGAACCTCCCACTGAAGAAAGGGGCCAGTATCCGAAACTGCTCCTTTTTGTCCCACATATTTCATTCTGCAGTCTCAAGAGCGACATAGATGTGACTACAATGGTCTCAAATTTGGCATCTTTTTGGGATGAGGGTGAGGACTGGATGGTCTTCCTGGAGACCAGGAGATCCTATTTGCCATATCTTGTTGTTGAGTCATGCTCTCCAGCAGCTGCTGTAACAGTTGATCCATCTTTAAAGGGAGAACATAGCTCAAACCTGGCCTTTTAAGACTGCATAATTATTGATGTAGCAGAAGGTAAAATATTCCTACAATAGTTAAATCTATAGAGATGCGCATCAGCAGAAAGGCCTCATAACTGTGCTCAAATTGAAACATACACATTTTACAAGGAAGCCCAAACTTTTGCATACAATTGTTGTAAGTTATAAGAGGATGCAATGGCAGTGAATAAAACACAGTTATAAAAACAATTATATCTTATTATTTAAAATCTATCTTGATTAAAATCAGAACAGTTTCTTATTTTCACGGTTCTCCCTATTTTATCTGTTTCAGATAAGCATTGGTGACTTTTCTACAATTTTAGAATTGGATGGGAGACACACAAACAGTTTCTTCTGTGTGCAAGATTCACCATGAATTCCTGTATCCTATAAGAAAGTGGTCCCAATTCTCTCTTTTGACTTTGATCATTATGCTTTTAGCAGTTATTATTCATAATTACAATTATGCTGTGGTGTACCCATCATGATGATTAGTGTTGCTAATATGCTAAATATTAACATTAAGGTTATGTTAGACTAGACCCATAAATGATTATTCAATATTCATTCTTCCTTTGAACATGAAAACATGCTGTACTGTTCACAATTAAAGTGTAACACCAAGAAGTGCTGTAATGGGCTTTTTTACTGTCTTTGTTAGCATTTGATTTAAGCAATAGTAAGGTGACCAGATTTCTGAAATGAAAACTGGGGACATTTCCACTTTGGCAGTCAATATATTATAAAAATATTCATTGTTTTACCTATTAAATAAAGGGGGGGGGCAGTTTCATGTATTTTAACCAGGGTAACTGTTGTAATAAAATATGGTGAAAGCTGACTGATAAAATTGGGTGCCAAGTAACTTTGTAAAGATCCAGTGGTTGTATGAGCCCATAATTTATATTCATATTAAATATTTTGGCAGTAAAAAGGAGCCCCGTAGGTATAGCCCAATAGCCAGACCCTAAACACACCCTTTTGCTAGCTTCAGTTCTGGAGAGACAGAGATGGCTGCTATCAACATGTGCCATATGTCATATGTGGATGGCTGAAAAAGTGCCGCAATTAAAAAAAGGATGAACTATTTCTAGATTGCGTGGTAGCCTACTTTCAAGTAGACTGTATGCTTATACAAATCAGATCTATACAAATTTGCCTACCACCTGGTAGAGATGAAACGGTTACCGGTTTCACGGTAAACCGCGGTAAAATTAATGACGGTTAGTAGTACCGTTTGAACTTTAAAGTATCGTTAAAACCGCGGTCGATTACCGCGGTGCGAAAACTCGGAGATTCGGAGATATTTCAGCCTTCTAAGAAGACCAAGTCTGACGTTCGGTCATGTTTTGGGTTTTATAAGGATGCAGAAGGAAAGTTAATTGAAGATGACCACCCTGTCTGCAGAACAGGCCGAAAGAAAATTGCGGGGAAAGGGGGCAACACATCAAACCTTACGAGTCATTTCGCGACCACCACCCGCTACTTTTTAAAGAATGCAAGGTTAACCTTAACGGAGACGTCTGTGGGGACTTCGAAATAGAAGAAATGTCGTGGTTTGTGTGGTTTAACTTTTGCTTATGGTTCGTTAATCATATAAAATGAAGCTTTTAGCGTCAAAAAAAAGAAAAAAAGAAAAACAATCGGTGAATCAACTGTGAATCGAAACTAAAGCTTTTAACACATTTCTGTGGAGCAGAGTCTCCAAAATGAGCTCTGAGTTAACAGTCACACACGCGCTGGAACGAGACGCTGCAGAGATTCAATCTGCACAGCTCCCCTTTCTCGTCTCGCTTGCAGTGTTTACTGTCTGAGAGGAGAATAACACCGTCTCAAATCACTCTGTGTCCCCTACATAGGGCACTACTGTTCAAACAAACACGATCATCATTAACAAGCAGTTGAGTTTTAAATAGGGACTTTGTAGCCTGTTGTTAATGTTGATTATAGATGACTTAGTCGAACGTTTTCTGCACTCTTTGGGTGAAGGATTTGCTATTTCATGATCCACGAAGTGCACTACATAGGGAAGATAGTGTGCTTTGAGACGGGACCTCACGCGAGTAAACGCTGTGTGCTGCTTTTAGGAAAAGCAGAGTTTCAGAGATTAAACTGTAGGAGTGTTTCTGCCGCAGCTCAGATGCGCGTTAATTTTAAGTTATGTTTTAGTTTTAAAATGCTTTTAGAAGAGCAGCTCCACAGGTGAAGACACACTGTGTGAGTTCTACAGTGTCTGCAGCTCACAGCGCGGTCACGCTATTCCTCTGTGATTTTGGCTGTTTTTCCTGGTGCACTGTGTTGATTAGGGGTTCAGCGCCACCGCAGCACAATAATGGTGCAGCTGCAGTTCGGACAGAAATCCCCCGAGTGCAGCACTTCTTAGAAGTAGTTATTTTCCATTAAGACCCACCTCAGAGTTGGTCGAGATTTAATTCTCTATGCAGGGAAATCCCTAGTTATTGTAATTAATAATAATAATAATAAGAAGAAGAAGAAAAAGAATAATAACAGTAATAATAATAATAATAATAATAATAATAATAACTGTAATAATAATACATTTGCTGTTCTTTTGTTTACAGAGTATTACAAGTATTGTAAGTAATACAAAAGTAATACTAAAAATGTATTGACCTCATTTTTTAATGTTTATGCAAACAAAAAGTGCATATTGCTGCCAATTCTATTTGTGTTAATATAAAAGTCGGTGAAACGAGTTTGTTTGTGTCAGTATTTATTTTTTTTATTTATTTTACTTTTCAAAACATTTGAACAATATCGCGATAATACCGATAATCGTGATAATTTTGGTCATGATAATCGTGATATGAAATTTTAATATCGTTTCATCTCTACCACCTGGTTTTAGTCTCATAACCCACCCCTGCTTTTAATCCTCATGTCTATGTTACCTCATGTCTTCAAAAGACATCTGCGGTGATGTTATGGACTCACTTATCATAATATGGACATATCATAATATGGCACTGTTTATTGCAAAAACAAGTACTTTTTGGTCACCTTATTACCACTGCAACAACAATTTTTACATTCTTCCCATACTAGAGTAGATCTGGTCGATCTGACTAAAACAGGCACATTTGAAGCATGTAAGCCGTTCAAGTGACATTCAAGTGACTTCAGTCTTTTATATTGCTGTTTTACAGTGAATCATATAGTAAGTACTCTTATTGCCTGTTAGCTGTAAAAGCCTATGATATTAATAATGGAATTGTCTAGACTGTTAGCTATGTTTTAGACTGTAAGCTAGCTGATCAGCTGTTCTAGTTGAGAAACTGTTTATTATTTCTTTAAAAAAACAAACAAAAAAAAACAGAGTACTTGATTAACAGTCAAAATAATAAGTAGATCACATTAACTCATAGGTGTGAACTTCTACAGACAGTAAACATTACATTCACAGCCTTCAAACTGTATAAATTTAATGATGCCAGTACAGTACACTTCTATCCAGTTTTGTTTTTCTTTATTGATTTATATTCCTCTGGTACACTTTATACAAAATCAGACATCTCTTTTTACTTTATTTGTAGTTAAACAGCTAAACAGCCTCTCACACAGACATATAAACACAAAGGCTGTTAGTCAGAGTAAGATAGAGAGAGAGCAGAGTCAGGCTGTGTTCTCTGATGAAACAACAGAATAAAGCCTCTGATGCATCATCTCTGATTCTGATCTGACTCTGAAGGTGGATTTGTTGTTTAAAGTAACAAAGTAAAAATACTTAATTAGAAATGAACTCAAGTAAAAGTATAGTGATTTAATTCCACACAAAAAAGTAATGCTACAGGGATAAATGTACTGGAGTACTGTAAGGACAGGAAATGTAGTTTGTAACCTTTCGCCTTTGGCTTTGTGGGTTATAGAAAAATACTGAGCAGGCCCAGTTGAACTTAACTTTGGATCAAGCTGGCCAACAAGACAAAATCCAAATGACTTTAAAAGAAGTTTCATTATTGAAACACAGAAAGCAAGAGCTTCAGTCACGAGCAGTTTCAGTCAAAACTGGCCAGTGTTTCAGTTGGACAGTGTTTCCGGCTGCCAAGACAGATTTCTGAAGAATCACAAGAAAACACAAGAGAGTGAATCGCAAGAACAGCAATCAGATAAACTCGTGTTCTCTCCTCTCCAAGTTTGATGCAGCTCAGAAAAGATAACCACACTGTGTGTGTTCATATGCTTATGCAAGAAATGAAACTCCCGCTTTGTAGCAGCAGCCTCTGTGGAGAGAAGTCCAGTCCAGATAATATATGGGTATGATGGCACACTCCTCATAGGTGCACAGCATTTTAAAACAAGACAACGATTATCTAGTGTCTCAGTCAAGGTTCAGTTCCATCTCTGGACTAATGCAAAATGGAAAGCAATGGATTGGCATTCACTACTGATTAAATACTGAATTTAAAATGTTGATTAGCTGGGCATACTGGGCAATATGGATGCACATCTCTCAGTAAATGATAACCATCAAGTATTCAGCCAAGCCAAAGTGTAAATAGTATTTTATACTTGAAAGTGTATAAAAGGAAAGCCGGGGGAGCCAGTTTAATTTATTCTGAGGTAAGAACAGAATGTACACACATTCAAGAGCACAAAGGTGCAAACATTTCTGCAGTTTAAGAACACGTCATGAATCTGACCAAGACTTTTTCTTAGGACCTTTCTCAGGATCAAATTTACGAAAAACTTAGAAAGCTATTGGTGAATGAGACCCAATGATTTTTGTGGGCTGCTGAAACACTGACAGCTGCAAATTTAGTCTACAAAGTCCAAGCAAAACTTGGTGCCACATGGCACTGCTTTGAGACCATATGGCCCTGTATCTGGAGGATCAGGTAGTGCGACCTAGTCCTTGGGGCCCTCCAGAACGCAACCTCCCAGGACCCAGCCAACGCTCTTTGGCCATACAAAGAACTCTTCTAGGCTCCCTGGTGTCACCAGAGCTATGCCGATGCCTCCCAATCGCTGCCCTTTGAGAGAGAGGGGGGTAATGAGGCGTCAGAGCATGCCAGGTCAGACATAGTATTTGTTGGCAATGACTGTTATTTTGAAGGGCAGGGGTTCTTGTAGGGGACTGTGAGGGCCTAGCCAGAAAATGGGCGGTGTAGTGTGTTTTCAGGTAGAGAGCATAAGAGAGCATAGGCTGTGTTTTTCCCCTGTCATTTGTAAGCGGAACCTGAACCTTGCCTCCTCCATGTTTCTTGGGAGAACCCCCAGTGCTACAGCATGTAGACAACTGCTGGAGCTTTCATTCAAGGTATGATAATTCTGTTTGTTTTTGATAGCTTAAGAAGTGTAATAGATGTGTTGCAACGAAAGTGTATGAAGTAAATGAATTTCATACTGTACAGTAAACGTACATTTTGTTATAAATATATGTGTTTTTTAAATTAATTATTTATTTATTTCTGAAAGATAATTGAGAAATGTAGTCCTT